TTTTTTTTTTTTTTTTTTTACCCTTGAAAAATAATCATTTAGACCATTGGTCATTTTTAGGACCCCCATTATCAGATCAACAACTTAAAAGGGACCACTTAAGTGAAAAATATAATTTAAAGCACAACTTTTTCAAAACTCTTACATGGGGGAACGAGAGAAAGCAAATTGCATAAGAAAGAAATGAACTAATGAAGTTCTCACAAATTGTTAGGCAAATTTAGTGCTTAGAGGCTCTAAAATCAATTGTCTTCGATGTTTAAGATAATAGACCTACAATCTCTTAAAATTAATCAATATATACCAAACAAATAAAAAGCGAATAGTGAAAGAATTTATTATACAAGCGATACCACTTAATTAGGAATATATTTTTTAATTCATATCAATACATTTACATAAGGCCTTATACTTTCTATAAGTCTTTTAGCTCAACTAGAGATTCTAGTACTGAAACTCGGGTTAGGACAGTTGGAGGCGACTCTGAGCATTTTTCGATTGTTATGGGGTTGCACCAAGGTTCTGCGCTCAGCTCGTTCTTATTTGCCCCTGGTGATGGACGCGTTAGCACACCATATTCAAGAGGACGTGCCATGGTGTATGTTATTCGCTGATGACATAGTTCTAATTGATGAGTCGCGAGCCGGTGTTAATGAGAGGCTAGAGGTTTGGAGACAGGCTCTTGAGACTAAGTGTTTCAAGCTGAGCAAGACGAATACGGAATACCTGGAGTGTAATTTCAGCGCTGAGTCGAGGGAAGTGGACGTGGATGTGAGGCTTGAATCACAGGTCATCCCAAGTAGAGGCAGTTTCAAGTACCTTGGGTCGGTTATCCAAATGGGATGGGAGATCGACGAGGATGTCACACACCGTATTGGAGTGGGGTGAATGAAGTGGAGGTTAGCATCTGGAGTCCTGTGTGACAAGAGAGTACCACTGATACTCAAAGGTAAGTTTTATAAAGCGGTGGTTAGACCGGCCATGATGTATGGGGCTGAGTGTTGCGCTGTTAAGAACTCACATATCCAGAAGATGAAAGTAGCAGAGATGAGGATGTTGAGGCGGATGTGCGGGTACACTAGGATGTATAAGATTAGGAATGATGATATTCGGGAGAAGGTGGGTGTGGCTCCCATTGATAACAAGATGCGGGAAACGAGGCTCAGATGGTTCGGGCACGTTTAGAGGAGAAGCCAAGATGCTCCGGTAAGGAGGTGTGAGCGGCTGGTTTCAGAGGGCACGAGAATAGGTAGATGGTGACCTAAGAAGTATTGGGGAGAGGTGATCAGGCAGGACATGGCGAGGCTTCAGATTTCCGAGGACATGATCCTTGATAGGAAGCTGTGGAGGTCGATATTAGGGTTTTTGTGAGGCTAGTTTGGTAGGATTTTTGTCTGAGACAGCTAGTGGCAATGTTGTGTCTTACTACTCTTTCGTTTTCATAGGGCCGGTCTATTTACTGGCTAGCGCTTTTGCTTTGCACCTATTTTCTGGTTTTCATGATGTTGTTATTTTTACTTATGGTATCTGTTGGTGGTACTAATATTGCCTCTTTTCGTCTTCTTGAGCCGAGGGTCTTTCGGAAACAACCTCTCTACTCCTCGGAGTAGGGGTAAGGTCTGCATACATACTACCCTCCCCAGACTCCACTAGTAAGATTTTACTGGGTCGTTGTTGTTGTTGTTATTGTTGTAGAGATTCTAGTACTAGTAGGAAATGTAGAGACATTCTAGTTTTTTCTTTTTTAATTTTATTTGTATAATATTTGTTTGAGGTAAATTTAATCAGGAAACATAATCAACAATGATTTATATAAATGATCCCAACTTATTTCAGATTGAGATATAATTATTGTGTAATTCACTTGTAGGTAAAGTTACAATCCGTCTCGAGCAGAGAAAAAAAAGATGGTAAAAAAAACAAGTAGGAGCTCGAGGAGATAAGATAGACGAGCGTCTTAAGTCGAGACCAATTTAGCCTGAGAATCAGTAAAGCAATGTTCATGGGCAAGCATCCAGTCTAACCTTCTTGGATTGTGAACTGTCCAAGGTAAGGCAGTGAGTGAATGTAGAGAAAATAAACTAGTAGTGGAAAATATAAAATTATCACATAAGGGGTAAACTTGTCCTTTTATATTATAGTATAGTTTTGTTACATGAAATATCACAAGAAGAGCCTGTGTAACATCTAATTAAATAATAAGCGATGATAAAAACTTATTATATGCCCCCAATGTTTACACCAAGCAAAGGAATGCTGCTTGATTAAGTAATATGCGTTTGCATTTTAATTTGTAACTCTCACGGTTAAATTGTTTAGTTTGGTGCAAACACTGAATACGAGTAAATTTTTACCCCAAATCCTGGACATGATTTCATTGGTTCGTCAAGCCTTCATATGTATTAGTTCGTCCTCATTCCCATTACCAGAATATTCAAAAAGTTGAGTTCATGTTATGATACTAGTAAATTTATCTGTTTCGACTGCACCAAAACGATGTTCATAATCATGTAATTTCCTATTATATGCTATGATTGGGAGCATGTACTTAAAGCCTTCTGTGTCTGTGCTTCTTCTTGTTACTTTAGAACAATCATTGAGTACTATCTCAAGCTTTGCCCCTTTTTCTATTCCTGCTGGGTGATATATGTTTGAGAGGTTAGATCAAATGGGTTGGATTTCACGCTTTGCTTCCTAATTGTTTGGAATTCAAAATCTGCCAATCTCAACGCCACACGCGTAGTACAGCAAATAAATTACCAACACTTAGCATTTACATCAAACAAATAAACGCAATACATATTACCAACACTTAATTTGTTATTAATGCGAAATTTGAATTGTTTGATTAGATTTAATAGGCGTTTCAACATAAAAATTATAAATTTTAAAAAAAGTAGTATTTGAAGTTACGTTGAAACAATAATTTTTGGAATTTGAAATTATGTTTGGACATGCATTTCACTTGAAAAATGTTGCAGTTTTGTATTGGGAAAAAAAAATCTGAAAATTTTGACAAAGTAGTCTTTTGAAAAACTCAGAAAAAATTTCCAAAAACTTACAAAATTTCATGGACAAACGGGGCTTAAACACCTGGTATATTATGTAAGTATTTCTTCAATCTCTTTTGGGGGTCTTGGGAGGGTTTTTTCTTTTTTTTT